GACGGTTGGAGAGATTATCATGGAGATAGATGAGAGCAGAACTCGTTGAACCGGCAGGCAGGGAAGAAACATCCTCCTGCCGGTGCTCTAGTTTCCCGACCAGGCACAAGGAGCTTGACAACTGATGGCCTTGGAACCAAACTTGGCATGGTACCAGCAAAAGGATGGAGAAGCTGAACGGCGAGAAGGAGCTGCAGGAGTTTGAGAACGGCGGGAAACTGGACTAGAAGTTCTCCGAGAGCGCTGATTACGGCGGTTCTGCCTAGAAGGAGGAGTGCTGACAGCATGCACTGAATCCAAGGCATTTACCGATGAATTAGAAGATAAACTACACCGGTATATCTCGTCGGCACGTTGAGAGAGAACAGCAATATCGGCGGTTTTATCGTGGACTAAATGAGACCTGACATCAGCTGGAAGTTGCTTCAAAAACGCGTACCGCAGGAACAAACACTCCTGATGTTCTATAGGAAGGAGAGCCCTCATCCTGGATAAGAGAGCTGAAGGAAGCATATCTCCAGATAGAGGAAGTGACATGATTGATTCACAACGTGCATAGTCCGTCAGAGAATGTGTCTGTAAAAGACGAGACCGCAAAACACCATAAGGATCAGCAGTAGGCGGGCTCCTTATTATATCCACAACGTTATCTATCTCGTTCTGTGGTAGAGACGCAACCACATGATGGAACTTGGTGGTGCTGCTGGTGATGTTTTTGAGGTGGAACTGAGACTCAGCGTTGATGAACCAGGATTTGCAGCTATCAGGCCAGAAAACAGGCAGTTTCAGAGCAACTGCATAGAGATGGCTGGACGGAGAGGAATCCACCTGGCTTGATGCGCCTGTGGTCAAAGCTGGATCTCCAGGCATCGTGCCGCTGAAAAAAAAAACACTGTCGAGCTAGGTTTTTGCTTACTGTGATAGCCTGTGGAGAAAACAGGGAGGCTGGTTCACTTTTCAGCCGAAAATAATACTAGCGAGCAAAAAACAGAACACTAACTCAAAACACTGAGTTTTAGATTATTTGAGTTTATAGGTGGAAAAATACAACGCTGTGGGTTGTTTAACTTGGACTTAAAACAAGGAATGTATTCAATAGTCTGGGGTCACCAATTTGGCGGATAGCAATAAGACGAGGATTTGATAACCACTAACTATATTTTTAATTTAAATTTACAAAGTTAGAAAATATATCATGTTTTAAAATCACATCCTTTCTCTACGTGGCTTCTGGGAAACTCCCCTTTTCTTTCTCCTTGCCGAGAGAAGTTCTCTAAGGAAAGACGACTTTCATAGCCGCCACATTTGCAAATAAAGATTTCTTTTATTTAGTTAAACTTTGTTTTTACTCTTTATCTCTATTTTTTTTTGTTTGAACCGGACAAATTTTAGAATAATCTAAATTATGTAGATTAGAGAATGGCAATGGAATAAATTCGAATTCCGGAGAGTTAAGAAGATTAGATTATAGGGTTACCCACAAAATTGAAATTTAGAGACCAGTTTTTATGATCGTTATTGAAGTCGCGATCTTTGTGGGCAATCCTTTTAAAAGGTTCTGTAGACGCTTTTTCAAGTGAACCTACCGTAAAAGCTTTATATGATCAAGAATGAACGAGAAATCCATGATTTCTCTTTAAAAATTGATTATTTTTAATTCATGGTTCTATATAAAAATGACTTGAGAGTTTTTGCTTTAGAAATAATTATGGGAGTTGAGTAATAAACATTTTTAAGATGGAAAAAACTTAAATATTATCGACCAGAATAAGAAAGATGGTCTGAAAAAGTCATATAAGATTGTATAGTAGTCTGATGTAAAATATTACTTTATTTGATGACATTATTTTTTCTTAGTCTTTGGCTGAGAACCTGCTGATAACAGAAGGAGCTGGGCTTCCAATCTCCATAGTTCGTCCCAGCATAGTGTCAGCCGCTTGGAGGGAACCATTTCCAGGTAAAAATAGATTAGGGCTGGATATTGTAGATTCCAGGTATATATAGATTAGGGCTTGATATTGTAGTTTCGAGGTAAATATAGTTTAGGGCTGGATTTTGTAGTTTCCAGGTAAATGAAGTTTAGGGCTGAATATATTAGTTTCCAGGTAAATATAGTTTAGGGCTGGATATTGTATAGTTTCCATGTAAATAAAGATTAGGGCTGGACATTGTAGATTCAATGTAAACATAGATTAAGGCTAGATATAGTAGTTTCTGGGTAAATACGGCTTAGGGCTGGACATTGTAGTTTCCAGGTGAATATAGTTTAGGGCTGGATATTGTATTTTCCATGTAAATATAGTTGAGGGCTGGATATTGTATAGTTTTCATGTAAATAAAGTTTAGGGCTGGACATTGTAGTTTCCAGGTAGATAAAGTTTAGAGCTGTACATTGTAGTTTCCAGGTAAATATAGTTTAGGGCTGGATATTGTAGTTTCCATGTAAATAAAGTTTAGGGCTGGATATAATAGTTTCCAGGTAAATATAGTTTAGGACTCGATATTGTAGAGTCCAGGTAAATATAGTTTAGGGCTGGAATTTGTAGTTTTCAAGTAAATATGGTTTAAGGGTGGATATTGTACAGTTTCTAGGGTTTTCAACAATCCTGTTACAATTTTGAAACTTTAGAGGTCAAAACTTTTGTCTTGTGATGCCAGTATCTTTTGTTGAGCGAAGGATTAAACTAAGGAAATGTGTGTTCATAAGGTTTCCATCCAGAGTTCCTTACTCAGTATCACTCTAAGATATTTCAAATTTTCATCTAACAAAATTTGATGCCGGTGCTCCACCAAATTTTGTTAGATCAAAATTTGAAATTTCTCGAGTTGTTGGAAAACGACCCTGGTACCCTAGAAACTCACTTTTCCTTCATTATATAGAAATGATAAAAGTTTTAAAGCAGGGTACATTTGTCAGAACAGAAATATAACAAGGAAGATTGTTCTTCTTATTTATTCTTTCTATTAGAGAGAGAAATCATTACTACTGACTTTAAATCAGAAATCCTTATGAGTCACTTGACTTATGATACGCCGGAATACAGTGTACGCGTGCAAGCCAGCAAGGTTAAAATGTGGATGATTCTTACGCTGGGTGGATATTTATCCCATCTGGTACAACCATTAACCACAATATTGCTTCATATATATAGGCTGGGTTGATAATCTGAACGGACCTACCGGACTCATCGCTGGTTGCGGGACAGGAATACTCAGAACACTGCATTGTGGGTAATGTTTTTATCTATTATCTATCTATCAATCTATCTATCTATCTATCTATCTATCTATCTATCTATCTATCTATCTATCTATCTATCTATCTATCTATCTATCTATCTATCTATCTATCTATCTAGCCGGGATCTACTAGCTGATCTGGTTCCTGTAGATATTCCCATCAACCTGATGTGCTGTGTTGCATGGAGGTAGAAATTTAGGGCTGGGCACGTTCCAACTTTTTTGAAATCGTTCCTTCAAGCTAGATCGTTCCGTTCTTGTTCGTTCTGTTTCCAATTAGTACCATCCATGTTCCATCCATATTCCATCCCGTTCCGTTCCGTTCTTTGTGTTTATAGTCGAGAATGGTTCCAACCCAAGTGTTAATAAATTATTGATGTAATTTTCTTAAGTTGACTCATCAGACATTCCCTCTTAATACTGTGGTGTAAGCTTAAAGGGGTGGAAAATAGAGATGGAAACGTTTCTTAAAAAATATCCATATTTTCATAGGATTTATTACATAAATAATGATATCAAATCTACATATTTACACTGAAGGCAGTATTGATTAAAGCCTTTTAAATGAAACTTTCTTAGTTAAGGGCAAAAATGAGATTTTAAAGTATTTTTTCATATGATGTAATTATACTTAAATGGAATACGTGCTTAATTTCAAGTGACCTTCCTATTTTAGAGTGGCATGACAGACCTTTGAAACCTTAATTTCTCCATCGTTTCTGAAGCAAGAAATGCATGAGTCACTTTTGTAGAGAAACCAAAGATGAAAATAATCAGTTTTTAAAATGGGAAACATGGATATTTAATGTAATAGTTGATCAGATAAGGCTTTGATTGATATTGTTGTGAATCAGAATTGAAATTATGTCTGCAGTCACTTTAAACCTCTTAATTGATTCTACATTGATTAAATTACTTTGCAGGTTTGTGAACTTTTAAGAAATGAAAAAAGAAATGAGCCCCCCCCCCTGCATGCCCCCCTCCCAAGGGGGGGGGGGTGCCTCAAGGCCCCACTCTTGTATGCCCCTGCACATTTCTGATTTAAAATGCGTTCCTGGTGATAATAACGCGTTCCTGATTTTAACGTTCTTTTAAGTCAATTTCCGTTCGCTCCCCGATCGTTCTTTTAATTATCATTCCAATATTCTTAAACAAGCCTTCTATGTGTTCGTTCTTGTTTTCGGAACGATGGGATCGTTCTTAATAATTCCGTTTGTTCTCACGAAAGAACGATCATTCCTCAGGAACACACAGCCCTACATGAATAAATCAATTAAACAATCGATCAATCAATTGAACAATCAACCAATCAATCAATCAATTAAAAATCAATCAATCAATTAAACAATCAATCAATCAATTAATTCATCAATTAATTAATGAATAAACAATTAATTAATAGTCACAAGGAGGAATCATTTTTGAGAATCAAGATTTGATTTTTTTTTTAAATAATTAAAAACCCGGGAAAAAAACGTTTTAAAAATCTTCTTTAAACTAATTTGCTGTTTATAGCAACATATTTTTCTAAAGAAAGGAGTTGATTTTTTTCCACAAACTCTGATTTTCTAATCTCTATATCTTTGGAACTCAATGTCGTAGACCTTAGATATTTCAAACTATTAATACTTATAGATAAAATAATCTAAGTTTAAAATATCAAAGGTTTTCACCATAAAATTGCAAAGATATTGGAATCAGAAGATTTTAGTTTGCGGCAAAAACTCAATTTTTTTTGTGACAAGATTAATAATTATAACTTAAATATATGATTAAAGGACGGCAACCCAACCCAGCAGTTGTACACAGGTGTACAATTGTACTTCAAGCAGTGTTAATCCAATTACGTAAGTATATTGTACCTTTTATGAATCTATGTAAGAAGTAAAAGGAAAAAACCTAGAAATAAAAACTTTGGTAATAAAGTTGCAATTTTCTGAAGTTCTAGGACAAGATGTCACCGAAAATAAAGTCCTGAGTTTTAGATTCTTGGGACTTTTTTCCTAAAATGATATGGGGGGTTGCCAATAAAGTCTTGGACGAATTTATGTAAAGGACTTTTCTTCAATGCATCTGCATATTGAATTAGCCAGGGGTGTTTTTAATACTAAGCTCATTTTTTCCATGGTTGTAAATAATAACATTCTTTGTTCCCATGCATTTTCCACTTTTTTATATAAAATCTATACTGGAACCAAAAAATTCTGAGACGATGGAGATAAGTATAAGTCAGCTTCAACATTATTGATCAGATTCGAAGGGGGGGGGGGTAGAA